GCTTAAAAAATTCATCTCACAAATTAGTCATAATCTGTGCAATTAGTTATTTTTAGTCTATATTTAATACTCCATGCATGTGTCAAACATCCGATGTGATATGGACTAAACTCTAGGGGAGGAACTAAACAAAGCCTAATTAGGCTTTAAAAATTCATGTCGGGCAAATTAGCCTCCATTTGTGTAATTTATTTTTTAATTAGTCTATATTTAATACTCCTAATTAGCACTAAACATTCGATGTGACGGAACTAAAGTTTAGTCCCCTAGTTTCCAAACACCTTCAACTCATTCCTATTCTATTAGCAAGATATAGGCAAAGCATTGCTCCACACAATCTTCATAGCATTATTAACTTGGATCAGTTCCATGATTCCATCAACTCTCATGGCTGATTGCTGTTCCAAAAAGAGCAAGCAAACATTGATACAACCCAGCTTGCTATATTGCATTATAAACTTTGCCAATTCTTGACACGAATGAGATCACATCAGATGTTATTAACGCAATGTTGAGAAGCAAGCAACGAATTAACTAACATCATGGTACAGCAAAGGGGCTATCTAATGCTAATGCTAGTACTTTTATTAAGATGACCAATTTCCACTAGTCCCAAGCCATTGTCTCTTCTTCTTGGGATCACATATAAAAGTTAAATCGGAGCAATGCAATAATTCTATGGGAATACCTATATAAATTATGGCGAATCGCCGATACAGTTACTGGCTCTCTTCTTCATAATCCTCCTCCTCGTCATCAGACTGCTCACCTTCACTTGCAGCCCCTGCCCCCGCGTGATTGTTGTTGTCATGGTACTGCTGGTAATGTGGGCGTGGAGCATGACGGTGCCTGTCACCATGGCTGATCCGGTAACGGCTATGGTGATTACTGCTGCCACCGACGTCGGTAACCACTGAAATCCTCCTAGATGAGCCACCAGCAGGGACGGCGGCCGTGGCAGGAGACGCGTGGTTCTTGGCCTGCGTGAGTTCCATCTGCGTGTTGAGGAAGAACTGCACGCGCTGCGACTCCAGCTCCTGCGTGAAGTCCATGCGCCGACGCTCCATCTCGGCGGCCTGCTCCAGCTTCGCGGCCTCCACGCGCTCGTACGCCTCGCCGAAGCGCCGTATCGCCTGCGCCAGCTCCCGCGCGCGGTCGTCGCCGCTTCTGCCACCGTCGTAGTCGGCGCGCCCATCGTCCGTCCTCTTCCTCTTCCCGTTCACTGCCGGAAGGGCCGGCACCGTCGGGAAGCCGTCGGAGGACTCGGAGGACACGGACGGCTCCGGCGAAGGCGCCCTCCGCTTGGCCGCGGAGCCTGCCGCGGGCATCAGCGGCGTGCGGCTGCGCTGCGGGAAGCCCACCCGCAGCGCCGCAGGCACCTGGCTGCCGCTGTTGGAGTTGTGCCCTCCGCCGCCGCCGCCGCCGGAGCCAGGCTTGTTGCCGTAGGCGGGCGCGAGGAGGAAATCGAGGCGGTCGAAGAACTGCCAGGCGGAGACCCGCTTGGCCCTCTCGACCTTGTACTTCTTCTTGAGCGTGTCGATGCGGTTCTTGCACTGGACATCGGACTTGGGCGCCTTGGAGTAGCCGTCACGGGAGGAGACGGCGTCGGCGACCTCCTGCCACTGCGGGTGGCGGAGGCTGCCGCGGCCGAGCGCGACGAAGCGCTCGCCCCAGGCGTCGATGAGCGCGGAGGTGGCGCCGTCGCTCCAGGCGTCCTCCCTCCCGCCGCCGCCGCCCCCGCTCCCGCCACCCCCGCCGCCGCCGCCGGCGCTGGCGTACAGGGATGCCGCGGTCCTATGGATCGGGAGCGCGACAGCCATGGAGGCGCCCGGCGGCGCAGCGGCGACGGTGACGGGGCCGTCCACGGGGAGCGCGGAGGAGGAGGGCGGCGACGGGGAGAGGGAGTGCGACACGTCGTCGTCGTCGTCCATCGCGGGGGTCGCGGCGGATCGGAGCGAATTGGGCGAGGGGAGGGGAAGGGGATCGGATCCGATTTGGTTTGGGTAGGGTTGGTTTCGGTGGTGCGGCGGTGCCGGCGGCGTGGGGTTGTCGTGCTTTGAGGGGGATCCGGCTGGGACTCGGCACGGCAAGGGCAGCGCGGGGCGCGTTGGCTTGGGCCAGGCCGGGAGGATGGGCCGGCGCAGGTCAGGTGGTGGAGTGCGGGGAAACGGCCGGCGGCGGGGGTGGTTTGGGCTGGTTGGAACCCGACCCCGACGCGTCGGCCGGCAGGAAGACCGCTTGCCCACCACGTTCCGTCCATGGTACGGTACCGGTACCTCCTCGACGAAATTGCCCTCGAAAATAGCACTGCATATATACCTCAATCAACCCCAGAGAGAGGCCAATAGAAAGAAGAGTGACGCTTTATTAATCTTTAAATAGCAACAATATTTTTCATGATAAACCTACTCCCTCCATCAAATAAGTGTTCGTTAGCATGAGCTAAATTCAAAGCGAACTGTATGTAGAGTTGTGTTCTGGAGCACGAGTTTGGCCTGCACATTAAATTTGTGATGAAATAAAAAAGGTCTCATTCACTAACCCACACAAACTCACCTTGACATGCGCATCGAGCCCTTGGCGAGTCCGGCGTTCTCAAGCGCCTTCTTGCCACTGACCATGCAGTAGCGCAGGTAGTCGTCAATCCTGCGGTCGTTCTTCCCAATGGTGTATTACCCCTCCAACGAGAACCCCCTAATCTGGGCAGCGAACCGGGTGGGGAAGTTGCCAGCATCAAAGCGGTCGATGGGGCCGAACCCTCTTTCGCCTTGCAGGAGCTGGTCGTAGAAAGCACCCATGTCGCTCCCGAACTTGGACACTAGCCCCACCCGCTCTTCCTGGGTCTGTCTCCTACCGCAGCGCGCACCAGAGTGGTCGCCGCTGCGTGTACGATGGAGAAAGGAGGGGATAGACAGAGCCTCAGGGTGTTGATGGGCGCTTGCATGGTGGAAACGGAGGTGCGGCCAATGAAGCGGGGAGACGGGTGCAGTGGTTATGGCGATTAAATGGACACTACACTGGGTCGGCCGCCAGGTTGGCAAGCCACTAGCCCCTTTCTTGCTTTGCTGGGTAGCAGCAGGCTAACAACACACACTACAAACTATAATGGTTTGAAGTTTGGGCATGGATTATGTGCACCTGCATTCATGAGATCTGAAAATGTTTACTAATTACAGTATAGGAACAGATGTTGTTATACTTGTACGTATACTTAACTCTATTGACTTATGTATTGTACGTGTACTTGACTCTATTAACTTATGTACACATAGTGCCATTAAATATTAAATAACTCCGTCTCCTAAAATGTTTATATGAATACAACTCCTTAGAATAATAATAGGGTCTTCCTAGTTTAACGTGTTGTGTAGTTGAGCACAAAGGTGCGAGTGCAGATCCTCTTCCTCAACACAGAAAGACACATTGCATTGTAGCAGCGCTTGCCCATGGAATCAATTGCTTTGTCATTTATGTTTAGGTTTGTCTACCACACAATTCTTATGCGTCCAATGAAACACATAAGGGCCATTTTGACAGATCTCCATCTAATTCTGATTCTCTATGGAAGCTAATTCTCTGAGAGAAACGATTATGTTTCTAAAAGTGATTCTCTTTGGTTATTTAGCATAAACTCTCAAAATAACGATGTAGAATCACTTTCACAGAATCAGGATAAGTTATTTTTTTCAGCTCCTAGCCTCTTATTTCATTTCAGAAAATTAGAATCAGTGGAGAATTACTTCTCTCTAAAAACCGTCTGGCAGATCTCCTACTAGATTTGGCAGAGAATTAGCTCTAGGAGCTTTGCCAAAGAGAGCCTAAAAATCATACTTCTCATTTACTACATACTTCATATTTACTCTTTCTCATCACTTCATCATCATATTTTCTAAAATAGACTTTAAAAACCCCAATTAGTTTATTTTTGAACTAGCATCTATTCAAAATTATACATCGTATATAAAAAAAATTAAGGGTGCTGCTGTGCCGGATTCCACTTGCAGGGTAAAGTGCATTTTCCAACCTTTAACTACACGATAGTTTGATTTTCAACTCCAAAATTATGATACCTGGTCCTGAACAACCTCTAACCCTTGAAAACAAACAAATTTGGTCCTTTAGCTAGTTTCAAATGTGATTTTCTATTTTTCATAATAATATAAAAAACCAATCGTAACCTTTAAAAATTCATAACTTATGTACTTGAAATTAAAAATACGAAACTAATACATTTTTTTGAAATGATATCTAATTGTTGGTAATCTATTTATAATTATTTAGAACTTATTTATTTATGTTTCTACTCCCTCCGTTCCAAACTATAAGTTGTTATAACTTTTTTGGTTCATCCATTTTACTATGTATCTAGACATATTATATCGAGATGCATAGCAAAATGAACGTACAAAAAAGTCAAAGCGACTTATAATTTAGAATGAATGGAGTATTATTTTATTGCTTATGGTCTGTTTTATTAGAAACATGAACAAGTATGAGATGAAGGAGGCACAAAATACTGAGGAAACTAATATATCAGATGCAAGCGTCGAAAATACAACAAAAAACAACACGACTGGGAAAGAAAATAAGGGTCCTGAGACACAGATGGATTATGATTGGTCAAATGATGATCTGCTAGAAGATGAGCATGAACTTAACGAATCTGCACGTATTTTTTTAAGTCAAAAAAGGAGATCCGGTAAATGTGAAGAATGCAAAGAACAATTGCGCCGTCGACCTACTGGGACGTTATCGAGACCGGCACGCGATGTTGCAAATGACCTTCGCGATCTGCTAGGCCGGTTGAAAAATTGGTGAGTGCAAATTGGCGCCATAGTCTAATCTTGAAAGTTTGGCAAGGGATGGTCTGCTGGGGCGGGCACAACAGCACACACCGCTTGCCGGCAGGCAACCGCAAGTGACCTGCAGAAAAATAAATCCTGTGAACAGCCATCCACCATGTTTAATACGGAACGTGGAGATCTCGGTTAGGCGGATCGATGGGGCGTGAAGGAAGGGCGTTTGCAGATGGTGCTCAACACCTTGGTGTTCTTCTTGACGCCATGTTGGGAGTTGGAGTGGCAGCTGATGGTGAGTCAAAAAAGGATTTGGGTAGTGTCATGAAAATGGCGATTATGTCAGATGGAGAGTTAATCCCAGTACGGCGGAGCAAACGGAATGCGGAGGTGGCTGATGTGGACTCTCGGGAGAAGGCAGAAAGAAGAGTTACCATCAAGAATCTCGAGGAACCCCAAGGTAATTTAAATGTTAATTCATTTTGTTCATTTTCTAATGTTCGTATTAAGGAAAACTTAGGGGAGTGGGTATTAGTTTGGGTGACAAAGATAATTTAATGATCGGGTCTATTGCTCTTTTAAAAAATGTTGAAAGGGAGAGACTGAAACCATCTATTTGACTAAATAAAAATGAAAATAAATTTGATTATGAGGAGGATGAGATCGATCCAGACACCTTCACCATAAGTCGACTCTGTGGTGACTTAACGGAGGAGGTGATGGATGATAATAGTGCGAACCTCGATGGAGTACTTGTAAATGTGCCCATCAAAGTGGCAAAAACCAAAAAGAAAAAAAACTCCTCAGTAAGAATACAACTGCAAGAAAAAAATAGTATTTCAATGAAAGGTATCTTTTGAAACTGTAGAGGTATGCGTGATTTAGCTAAACACACCTTTTTACATGACGTGGCTGGGGATAACAAACTTGATTTCATAGCTCTATCAGAGACCAATAAAAATAGTTTTTTGACTCAGTGTCTAGAAAACTTCTGTGCGGGGACTGATTTTGTTTGGCATTGGCGATGTCCTCGGGGTATGTCCGGGGGATGCTAATGGGAATAAATCAAGGTTATTTTGAAATAGAGAACATAGAGGATGGTGATTATCATATCAAGTTTCTCATCAAAAAAAAAGTAGATGATTTTCGATGGACTCTATTGTTTGTGTATGGTGCAACACAAGAAGAGCATAGAGAACACTTTCTATCAGAGTTAGTACGAGCTTGTACTAGATGTGGGGATCTGCCTTTCTTAGTAGGGGGAGATTTCAATATCATTAGGAACCCTTCAGAAAAAACAATTCAAGATATAATAATAAGTGGCCTCTTTTGTTTAATGTTATTATTGAAACGTTAAATTTAAGAGAGCTAGAGTTAACAGGTAGGAAATATATGTGGGCAAACTATGCAGAGGTCCCAACATATGAAAAGTTGGACCGTATCTTAGTAACAACAGATTGGGAACACAAATTTTCTTTAACTTCTGTCCAGGCACTTACCCGAGAGATCTCAGATCATACACCTCCTTTATTAGATAGTGGTGAGCCATCTCATAGAGGCAATATTTTGAATTTTAAGTTCGAGCTAGGGTGTCTAACAAGAGATGGTTTCTTTGGGTTGGTCAAAGAGGTTTGAGAATCTGAGAATATGGGTCGGTCACCCATGGAGAAATGGCAATACAAAATTAGAAGGTTGCGATGTTTCCTTAGAGGTTGGGCTAGGAATTTGTCTTCACAAAATAAGAAACACAAATCTAACCTCTTGACTAAGATAGATGATCTGGATAGAAAGGCAGAGACAACTGTGTTGTCACCTCAAGAGATGGAACTTAGACATCATCTCAAAGGGCAATTAACTAAGTTGCTGAGAGAGGAGGAGATCTATTGGCTCCAACGATCAAAAGCAACAAAGTTATTGTAAGGGGATGATAATACTAAGTATTTCCATCTAGTGGCAAATGGGAGACACAAGAAAAAAAAATTTGTCGAGCTAAAACAAGAAGAAGAATGATTGTTGGGAATGGGAATTTGAAAAATTATATAACTGAATACTATAAAGGATTGTATGGACCTCATACATCGAATTCGTTCTCAATAGATGAGACTTTGAGGCATGACATATCTCAAGTGTCGGAGGACAAGAACGAGGGTTTGACGACTCCATTCAACGAGGAGGAGGTTAAATTGATAGTTTTTGATATGGAACATAACAAAGCACCTGATCCGGATAGTTTTCCCGTAGAATTTTACCAATTCTTTAGGGAGGTTGTGAAACCGGATTTAATGAACCTTTTTTATGAATTTCATGATGGGAGACTGCCTATCCATAGCCTAAATTTCGGGGTAATTACATTACTACCAAAGAATGCTGATGCGGCCCGGATACAACAGTACATGCCAATATGCTTATTAAATGTGAGCTTTAATATTTTTACGAAAGTGCTAAATAATAGGATTTTGAAAGTGGCAGATAAATGATAGGACCGTCGCAGACGGCCTTTATCCCGGGTCGCTATATCATGGAAGGAGTTGTGATGTTGCATGAAACGATTCATGAGTTGCATAGGGAAAACAAGATGGTGTGATCTTAAAACTAGATTTCAAAAAAGCCTATGATAAATTAAAATGGTCGTTTATACAACAAGTTCTCAGAATGAAAGGATTCTCACCAACTTGGTGCGAATGGATTTCAAAAGTCATGTCTAGAGGGAGTGTTGCAGTAAAGGTCAATGATAATGTAGGTCACTATTTCCAAGTCATGAAAGAAGTGCGGTAGGGGGATCCGTTATCTCCAATTCTGTTTAATATAGTGGTTGACATGCTGGCTATCTTTATTTCACGAGCTAAAGAAAGTGAACAAATTCAAGGGGTTGTTTCAGATTTGGTAGACGAGGGACTTTCAATCCTTCAGTATGCAGATGACACTGTCATCTTTATGGACAATGATCTATAGAAGGCAAAAACATGAAGTTTTTACTTTGTGCTTTTGAACAGCTATCAGGACTCAAGATCAACTTCCATAAGAGCGAATTGTTCTGTTATGGAACATCCAAAGCTAATCAAAACGAATATGTACAAATTTTTAGGTGTGATTTGGGATCGTTTCCATTTGGATATATGGGAATCCCTATGCATCATAGAAAGCTCATGAATAAAGACTGGAAGCATGTTTAAGAATGTTTTCAAAAGAGATTGAATTGTTGGAGAAGCAAAATGTTATCGGTAGGAGGAAGGCTTGTTATGATTAACTCCGTTTTGAGTAGTCTCCCCATGTTTATGCTTTCATTTTTGAAGTATCTAGAGGGGTTCTAAAGAAGTTGGACTATTTTAGGTCATGATTTTTTTGGTAGAACGACGAACATAAGAAAAAATATAGATTGACTAAGTGGAAGGTAGTTTGTATGTCGAAAGATTAAGGGGGTTGGGAGTCCTAAACTTAGACGCATATAACAGGTGTCTCCTAATCAAATGGCTTTTTAGGGGGTTGGGAGTCCTAAACTTAGACGCATATAACAGGTGTCTCCTAATCAAATGGCTTTTTAGGTTGCTGAATGGAGATGGGATCGAGCAACAATTGCTTAGGAACAAGTATTTAAGAAATAAAACTTTGACACAAGTTCAATACATGCCTGAGGAATCCCAGTTTTGGGCTAGCCTTATGAAGGTCAAGGAGGAGTTCCTATCATTGGGTAAGTTTGATCTAAGCGACGGGTCTCAAGTGTGATTTTTGGAGGACTCGTGGATAAGACCGCGTCCTTTAAAATCTCTTTTTCACGCATTATATAATATTGTTACAAAGAAAAGCGCATATGTAAGAACGGTGTTATCTACGACACCGTTAAATATGACTTTCAGGAGATCTCTAGTAGGTGTTAATTTATAAGCATGGCACGAGGTGGTCGCCATGGTTGCAGATGTACAGTTAACAAACCAGAAGGATCATTTCGTGTAGGGGCTACATCAAAATGGATTGTTTTCAGTCAAATCCATGTACAGAGCCATTTTAGGAGTTGAAGCTATACCTTATAACACTTTAATATGAAAACTGAAACTATCTCTCAAAATCAAAGTATTTTTGTGATATTTGTATAAGGGAGCAATCTTAACAAAGGACAATTTAGCAAGGCGGCAGTGGCAAGGAGATAGAAAGTGTCGTTTCTGCTATTCTGACGAGTCTATACAACATCTATTCTTTGACTGTCATTTTGTTAAATTCGTGTGGCGAATTGTTCATGTTTCCTTTAATTCAATACCTCCAACTAACGTTCACAATTTGTTTACAGGTTGGTTAGACGGGATTAATAGAAAAATGAAATCTAAGATTCTTGTGGTGCAAGTGCATTTTGTTGGGCGATATAGTTAACCTGGAATAATATAATTTTTGATAAGGCCGTAGCACCATCTTATTTGCAGATTATCTTTAGGGGACCTACTGGATCAGGTCTTGGTCCCTACTATAAAAGGAGGATCGTCAAATAATAACGATGGGATGCAGGAATATTGAGACAACCACGATAGAAGTATTTGCTAGACACGGTTGAAGATTTAGGCCCCGTTTACGTGCTCTTAAACCCGGCTTGATCCGCTTATTTTTTTTTATCCAGAACAATATTTTTCTCTCACAAATTCCTCCAGCATTCCTCCAAATCATCCAGATTCCTCCAGAATTCAGACAAGCGAACAGGCCCTTAGTAATAGAATTGCTCTCTAAATGTCGAGTTTGGAAACTTCTCTATTTTTTTCTTTAGATCGAAACTTTATGTTTGAGATTGCGTGGATTGCGGTGCTTGTGTTGTAATAAGCAACAACTATATGCATTGGTCGATGCAGAAGCTGTGATATTAATATATTCCCTTTTTAAAAAAAGTTTTAAATGGTTACCGATGATTAAAATATTTTTTTAGGAAAAATGGTATTGGTTTCACATTTTTTATTTAAAATAAATAAGTTATAAAATTTTATAAATTAAAACATTTTTACTATTTATGGAAATTAAAAATCACTTTTAAAACTAGTTAGAGGACTAAATTTATCCGATTTTGATAATTAAAAGATGTTCGGTACCCAATTTCATAACTAAAGGTTGAAACTAATAACTTGTGCGATTTGAAGGTTGAAAATGAGCTTTACCTTGCTCGAAATACAAGATGCACGCAAAACCAAAAGGAATAGACCTCCTGGGCCCACCGGTCAGTGGCTCGTCTCTTATCAAGTACCAAACCCTTTCGATCTGCTTCGTTCCCTGTCCGTGTATCAAAGACCGAACTCTGCTCCTCCCTGCTTTCGTCACGCGAGAGCACTCCACTTCCACGCGAACCCTAGCAGTGGTTCTCCCTGGGGGCCCCGCTAAGCAGCTTGGTCCCAAGCTGTAGAAGCAATTCCGATCCCAGCCGCGGCGGGTTGAGGCCATCAGCTCCGGTTTCTGGAGCCGGATTTGGGATCCGCGCGATGTCTTGGTCCGCGCCCGACGACATCCTCCTCTCCACCTCCCTCGCCGGCTTCTTGGACAGTGAGTTTTTGAGATCCCCTATCTGCGATGTTTCTGAGCTTGTCTAGTTGCCTAGATGCTGATATTGGTCCGTAGGACTGAGCCGATGCGCCTAGATTTGATTTTTAGAGGGGTCGTAGATCCGATTGGTCTAGTTTCCTGCTTGCGGAGGCCGTGATTGTAAGTCATTGTGAGAATTTCGTACTGACGATTGCCTTCTGTGAGTGGTTCGGATCAAAAGTAGACACATTATTACGTGACTCTGCAAATCCCTGTAGCCGTTGTTAGTAGGAGAAGAGGCTCTTATGGGTTATGCAGTCATCCATATTCAATACAGCTCATTTAGTTTTAGCGAAAGATAGTATTTTTCCTGTAACTCGCTCCAATTTTGTCTTGAACTTTGTCAAAGCTTTCGTAGGTTTATCTGTTTATGCAGATAGACTACAGATTTTTGTGTGTACTGTTTCTGCCAATGTCTGAATGCTACCTTGTGTTTGTACTGAATGAGAATGCCTTATGTTTGTTGGTGGAAATCTTACCTGGAGTTGGTTGTGACTCATGGCATATGAAGACAGAATTCTGGTGCGCTCACACTAAGCATAAGCCTTGTAAAAGGTTGTTAGGTCCCATAATTTGCTTGGTTCCACAATGTTTTTGGCAATTATTCGTGCAAACTTATGTACTTTGTACAAAATTATGTCTTATAGGACCATCTCATGTGTGTATATATTTGTACCTGAAGCCCTTCATTGCGAACAATCGTATTGCATTTGGGACATTTGGTTGGTTGGATTGACTTGATTATGAAATGTTTCAATTCTGTGTAGTAAGTCTGTGTTGGACCAGCCTAATTGTAAGGCAACTTTGGTGTGTTCTTCAATCTCCAAGTGCCACTTTCTTTGGTTCACTGATAGTAAATTTCTGTTTTCCTTTCTATTTCCCCTTCAGGGATTATGTGCACCTTTGAGTAGAATTTAAACTTAATTGTGGTAGCTGTTAGTTGTTTGAAGCTGTTATTTGGTACCTCTATTATCTGTAATTAAAAAAGACATCATCTTTTGTCCGTGTGAGCTCCCTCTGAATTAGTTGATGAATTTTATACCTCAATAGAAACCTAATTTAAATTCTCTGCCCTATGACAGCAAAACCTCACAGCAATTTGGCAAGCTGATGGCATTACGATTGATTGATATTTCTATTAATTTTGTAGTGTATATGAGATAATGAGAAGACTGGCCCGCAATGAGTTCCTTTTAATCAGTTGATCTGTTAATGCCTTGATAGATGTTCAGTTGAAATTGTTTCCATGTGATGGTAGAAGCAAAGGGTTTCCCCCTTTTTTTTAATGAGCGATGGGATTATGATTGTGTGGCACTTTTGTAAGTGCATATGAAATAATGAGAAGAGAGGGTGTGGCACTTTTGAGGGCGGGCCTGGTGCAAGCGGTAGAGTCTTACCGCCTGTGACCGGAAGGTCCCAGGTTCGAGTCGTGGTCTCCTTGCATTGCACAGGCGAGGGTAAGGCTTGCCACTGACACCCTTCCCCAGACCCCGCACAGAGCGGGAGCTCTCTGCACTGGGTACGCCCTTTTAGAGGGTAACTTATGCAAGCATTGGGTAGCTGCAGTGCAAGGCGTTAGTGACATGATCGCATAACTCGCTACTAGAGCTAAAGGCCAGCAAAGTTTCTACCTTCCTAAACAATCAACTAAATATATTGTTAGTTTTCTACTTATCTATTAGTTTCTTGGCATATTTGTAAATCTTTTAATCTAGTCTTTGTAAATCTCGAGTGGGTACTAAATATTGTTTGCAAAGGATGTTGTTTCTTCAAAGAATTCTGTTCCTAGGGCATGCCAAGTGTAAGATTACCTTGGCATATCCTTAGTTCATTTAATATTTCATTCTTATTTGGTGTAAATAGGTAGGGTACTCAGAAGAATACGCGGATAAGTTCTTTTCTGTCTGCTTTCATTACCTTGGAAGTATAATTAGTGATTACATGGATTATGCTCTTTTGAGGTTTTAGCTAACATTATTGTTATTGAGAAAATAGTTTAAACCAAAATACTGTACTAGCACGAGTCATGTTAATGTCCATTTCTTTTTATATTTAATAAAAACGAGAACAAGAGTACTTAAGTATTACGTGTGCATTGGCTGCTTTCTATGACCTGCTTCATCTAAAAAAAATTATCGTCAACCTATGGTACTAATTTCTCTCGTATCTGATCTCAGAGAAACTTATTGTCCTGCTAAGAGATGGACGGAAACTGCTTGGCACCCTCTGCTCATTTGATCAGTTTGGTATGCCGCTTTACTCCCACTTTCCTTAGTGTTGAATTGTATTTTCTGCTACTAATCTCCTCTTTTACTATTGTACTTTGCAGCCAATGTTGTTCTTCAGGGTGCTTGTGAACGAGTGATTGTAGGGGAACAATATTGTGATGTTCCTCTTGGTCTGTACGTAATCCGGGGAGAGAACGTTGTTTTAATTGGAGAATTGGTAATAACCTCTGTTGCATTAAAAGTGAGCATGACCAAACTCATCTCTCCGCGTTGATGTTATAGATCTGGTATATTGCATTGAGCAGGATCGTGAAAAGGATGAGCTCCCTGCTCACATGACCTGTGTTTCAGAAGCAGAAATAAGAAAGGTATGCACTTATCTTCAATCTATTCTTGTTTTGAAGCGTTTTCTGGTGTTTAGCTAAATCTTTTCTGCATTTCAATACATGCATGTTGATATCCTAGTGATACAGATTGTTCATGAATGGCTCTGTGTTTTCCAAAGACAATTTCAACTTTGGCGCTATTGTTGTCTTGCTCTTTTACTGGGTGTTTCAATAATAAGTTATGGCCACAGTTTCAGCCTTAAAGAAATACATAAACTTTTTATTAGATGAAAATACAGATAATTCGTAGATTATTGTAACTTTTGCAACCCATCCTGTCATATAACTTGGAAAACTGTGGATGCAACCATTGCCATTTTTCTGTCCTAACCTCTTTGTGGTCTGCTATGTATGTGCGAGCAGTCTAATGAATAGTTTACATGAACAATAAAGATGAGAAGATTTGTCTCTCTAAACTCGTAGTTGTGACTTTTGTTGTTGAAACTATTGCATCTTTTGATTTGCTTTTATGTCAAAGCAAAAATGAAATTTGTACGTAATGTTGGGCCATGTTTTTCCCAAGATCTAAGCATTAATAAAAAAAAAAAAACTAATTTTGTGGAAGTAAAATATGGATTGTTAATGTTTGGTCTGCTTATTGCCTTTTGTGGATGTATCTTGGAATGTAGGTTTGTCTGTATTAGATTGTAGCCACTCTGGGATTGGCCCTACTTTATTTTAAGAAGGGTTTAGAAGACTAGGGAGTAGGGATTCCAGTTGCGATGAACTGAGAACAGATGACAAGAGGAGCAATTCCTTTTCATAGGGAGGCAGCATTACCATTAGTACAAATTGGATGAAACAAATTATTTAACCTAAAAAAAAGAAATGAATATCTATCTTCAACCTACTGCATTTGTTGCAGTCCCACCTTTGGCCTGCCGTAGCATGCTCAAACCTATTTCTTTCATCTGGTCTTTCTGAATCTTGTAGTGCTTAATTAACAATAAACTGTGGAGAATGAACAAATAATACTAATCTGTATAAACACAAAGTTATTGCGGTTTAGCAACAGGACCCAGCGCACAGCTCCTAGGAGAAACATAGGGCAGACCCAATGCCGGAGGCTCCCACATGAGTGGGGTCTGGGGAAGGGAAAAACCGAGGCAAGCCTTCCCCCCGCAAAATCTGCGGAGAGGCTGCTTCGAACCCATGACCTGGTGACTCAGTGAGACAGCTCTCACCACTGCACCAGGCCCCTTTTTTGTACCCCCAAAAATCTGCTCCTAGGATGAACAATTCAAAAGGACTTCAGGTTCCTGGCTTTTCATACACTAGACAAATCTGCAATCCGCCATTGAAATATGTGTGTATGGCTTACCTTTACGCTTAGACAAAGGAACCTTACTCCTTCACTATGTCATTATGACTTACTACTAGCTAATGGTATTTGTTTTTTGTTTTTTTTCCCATCCAGGCTGAAAAGGCAGAACGGGAAGCCAGAGATCTGAAAGGCACGATGAGGAAACGGATGGAGTTCCTAGACTTCGATTAAGATCGTTTCCATGTTAGTTGCTGCTCCCATTTGTGGCCGCGGAGTTTTTAGTGGCGGCCTGTGCCATACCTGATGACTGCGCCGCATCCCACAGTCGCATGCTTCTCGTTTGTCCAGAAACGCTTTGGATTGGAGGGTTCAGCGAACAGATTCCTTTTAACTAGCAGTGCTGTTTTCTACTTTTGTGGCCACAACAGATCCTTGTTTGAGAGCCTCCTGATACAGGAGATGCCCTGTGCTCTCCTCCTTGTCGTTTGCAACAGTGCCTTTGCCCAATCGGGATTTATATATCTAACATTATTACTGTACACCTGATTGCCTGATTGGATTGGATCGGGGGGGGGGGGGCAATGCCATGCCTTGCCTTTGCAGGATCCTGCGCAACATGCGTGCTGTGCTAATCAATTCTAGCAACCAATCAGCATCAGCGGACATGCAAGCAAAAGTGAGCCCACCTAGCCTGTGGTGCGGGCTGCTGTCCGAGCGTCTCTTTACCAGCCCCGGCTGTCCCTATCCATCCATCCTCCTGTGCGTAATGCGATAGCGCTGAAATCTTCACTAGCAGCCTTGCAATTTAGCCGGATGCACGAACAGCAGGGGCGAAAGGGTCGGTTCAACGTGGCGCCAGTGTTACCGAACGCTAACGAAGCAAATGAGCTGATAATGGCTGCTGGTACCTAATAGATATTAATTCATGGCCCCGTTCATGCCGACACCCATCAGACGGTAACCCATGCCTTCCTCTGTTCCTTCTCTCTCCCAAGCCAAAGCGTACGCACGGCACGGGCAGTGAGGTGTGAGGACATCCGTCCAACTTCCGTGACGCGAACAGGACACTGGAACGAGCCAAACACTGGAGCTGGAAGCCTCCCAATCAGGCATCAGCGGCAGCCAAGCCATGTTGTTTGTTGCACACTTGCGCACGCACGGTCGGTTGATTAATGCATGCCTGGTACTGCCGGGCGTGGCAGCGCACATGGCGGTGCGTGCGATAGAGCTGAGGCCGTATCGTATCGTGGATTATTTATTGCTCGCTGGTTTAGTGTGAGAGAAAAACACTATTCCCGACTGAAAATTTACGATCGTTTACGAGCAAGCGAACAGGCTTTAATCCTTATGCGCCGGCCCGGCCATTGAAGACGGCAGCGTGCATGTAGGATTGTGGGTGGTCTCCATCGATCGATCGATCTATCGGCTCCCAACCGTCGGGTCACCGTCCTCGGCGGCCGAACTCGTCTACCGTGCGGACACCATGGTCACGGATGGGATCCGCAGAAATCCGGCGTTAAATGGCGGCTTTGGCGGGGTTCACGTGAGCAACCAAATTGATGGGAAAGCTCGGGCCTAGCTACTGCCCGCGATCGGCAGGTCGTGCTGTACCGCGTTCATGCTTCCACCATTCAACTGAAGATCACGACTAGTGTGAAAGCGCGCGTCGTCAGTGACAGTGCACGAACAACTGAACAAGAATGAACTTCACGTACGCGGTGATCATTTGGAGATCTCATGGGACGACACCGGCTTGTTGTAGACAGTTAGGAGCATTAGTAGTACGGAGTAATAGAGATTCATTAGTTTTCAGTAGCAGACAGCAGTACAAATTTAAGTACAGTCACTGGAGTATATGCCATTGCACGGCGAGCTACATTTCTCTTAAGCTACATATGTATGGAATGGGTCCTCCAAAACAATCTATGGCGCTCATGATTGGAGCTGCAGCAGTACTACACTGTTTCCCAGCACAACTACCTGCATGATGCTTCTTTGCTGCGATAAGCAGCCGCATAAAGGAGGGATGGTCATGGAACAGAAGAAGAAAGGAGGGACGATCATGGAACGGACACCACAGCGACAGCCCCTGCCTGTCCTACATGATTGGCTACCACCGTGTTCGGCATTGGTTGGACGCGAGTGAAATCTCCTCAGAGCTCACGCGTAACCAAGCAGCAGCGATACGCGAACCAATGCCGCCGCGCGCTCTGCACCGGGCGACGACCGTGGTGGACGCGGCAGGCACCAAGCCACCAAGCCGGCCGGCCCGGGCAAGCTAGCTAGGCCTGCGCTCCCGCGCGCTTCATCCGCGCGACGGGGACGAAGGGCGCGGCGAAGTAGGGCTCCACGCCGGTCCACGGCGGGTGATGCGCCGCGCTGGGCGGCGCCCCCGGGTGTCCCTGGCCCGACAGCGCCGCCACGCAGAGCGCGGCGAGGCGCCACGCCGCGCGCCGCAGCCACCGACGGAGCCGGAGCCCGCGGCCGTGGCGGCGCACGCGCGAGCCAGGGCCGCCGCCGCCGAGCCGGACGACGTGCACCTTCTTCCGGCGGCCGTGGCCGGGCAGGCGGAAGGAGTGCGCGGCGGCGCGGCGCGGCACGATGATGACGCACGGAGGCGGAGCTTCCCCCATTGTTGTCGCCCTTCTTTCTCGGCACCTTTGGCCGCCTCCTTCTCGCTGCTCGCTCCGCGGCGCCTCCTCTCTCTCACTCACTCGCTGGTGGCCTCGTCGGCCCTGCTGTTTCCTGCCTTCTCCTCTGCTGCGTTGCGCTCTCGTGCTCGTGCTCCTCTGCTGTGCATGCATATAAAGGACGGAGGGACACGGTCGGGATGGGCCAGGCCAGGGTTCATCAGCCGAGTGTACGCGTATTTAAAAAAAATATAGTATAAGATTAAAGAATTAATGAATCAATGAAATGAAAAGCGGAAACCACCTAAAAAAAGGAGAAGACAGACAATGCACTCAATTTTGCTAGGACTGAACAAGCTGGCTGGAAAATGCTGGAGCGCAGCAGCAGATATACTTTTACTACTTTTTAGTTTTTGATGATGACCAGGAGAGCATCATTCTTAAACAAATGGAGGGTCAGAGGGTTCATACTGCCGGTGACAGGAAACTGAGGTGCCTGCCAGCCGCCTGGGGATCCTATGGAATGTATGCACTCCACGTTGCTATGCTTGGTTTACTATTATCTGAATGTGTTCTTCTGGCAAAACTGGAAAAGAACATACTCATAGGATCGTCACCCAGTCTGTTCGGTTGGCTGGATCGTATTGTTGCTGGTTCATTTATGTGAAAGAAAAATACTACTGGCCGATTCAGGTGAACAGTACTCATGTGAGGGGGCTGGCGAGCCCAGCCAGCCCCAGCCAGTACCGTCGTCAGCTGATCAAAATTACTACTACTACGTGGCAGCATCAATCTATTTGTTACCAGATGAAACGAAACCAGGTGGGTGAATGGCAGGACATTTATTCTAACACGTTTTCGTGCCCTGAGAGTGAAACTTGCGGTACACCTCTGAAACGTACAGGGCAGCTACTACTGCTGCAAGCATGGCCTCGGTAGGGCTGGATAAAATACTCGTGGCTCGCTAACTCATTTGACTCGTGACCAGCTAGGCTCGACTCGTTTTATTTTCTTTTCATGAACTGAGCTGGAAGTCTAGCTCGCTGTTTTAATGAGCTAGCTCGCGAGCTACTTACAAGCTGAGGCCTATCAACCCACGACCCATGAATCCAGGATCTATGAGGGAGGCCCAACCAAGCCCACACCACTCCTAGATTGCATTGATAAAGGCAAAGAAATCAAATGATGCATATTTGCGAAATATGGCAGCTGCAATGTTAGATAAATTTGATAAATACTGGGAGGTAAGGAACAATCTCATGATTGATACTTTTATGTATTATTCATATATGATTGTTTAATGGTGGACGTCATGTTCGAATTGATGTAGCATCAATATTATAAACATGTGTGTCCTATTTTTTTAGCAGCTCGTGAGTTAAACGAGCCAGCTCGAGCTCGCGAACGAGCCGAGCTGAGATGCCCCTTTGGCTCGTAATATTAACGAGCCGAGCCAAGCTGACTCATTAGCCTAACGAACTAGCTCAAGCTGAACCGAGCCGAGTCGAGCCGCACGATATCCAGCCCTAGGCCTGGGGATCGGACTGCATGGGGTAGTTCAAACACGTTTATCAGGATAGGTTGCGCTCACGGTTGGTGACGATTGACGAAAGAAGAGCGAAGAGGAAGAAAAAAAGGGCTGCACAAATTAAATGGAAAAGGGAAATCCAGACGAGGACCATGTGTTGTGTACGTACCATCCAGTCACCTTTTCTTTCCATTAAAAAAAAGATATTGTAGTACGGCCACATCTCAGTGCTCCATTTTATTTTATAATATGGATCAACATGAACCAGCAGGGACATGCATGCTGGTCTCTTTGATCTTTGTATAATATAGTCTCTTTTGGAGAAAAATGAGGTCACATTTTGGATTTCACAGACATTCCGTTGGAACTCTGTGAAATCCATGCCTTGTAATCACACGCCTCTTGATTTGTAATTTGTAATTATGGATGATCTCTATCATGTCAGTTATGGACATCATCAGGGCTCACGGAGGCGAGAGGTTCCTGAATCCCCCGTCGTCTCGTGCATCGCGTTTTCTGCAAACGCGTGAATGCATGCAGTCGTAGCATACACATACACATCGCGTTTTCTGATCAAACGCGTGAATGCATGCAGTCGTAGGGAAACCACACACACATCAAGAGTTTTGGGTTCTACGCCATGGAATCAAGTCCCCAGCCCTAGTTGCACTGATGATCCCATTTGGAACAACTCCAATATTAGCAAACTCGCAGCAAAAAAGTGGGCTCCACCGAACAGGTTCCTCTTCAGAGTTGAGAGATGTTGAATGGAGACCTTGTTCGAGCCCGTTTACGACTCCACACGGATTACTTGTATCTGTTCTTATTAAAACCTTCCTGCTTCTGCATACATGCTTGGAAAGGTGCATCCTTCTTCATGAAGCGAAGTGCACCGACAAAATAGATAGATGTTCCTCAACGCGGAATGATTTCGAGATCAACCATCCACCTGCAATTGTGTTTGCATTTGCATACATACATGGAGTAGTATATGGATAGATAGAGGTGTATATCAACTCTGGGATGGATCGATCGGCAGGTGAAACAAGACTGATTGCAGGTATTAGTACGTAGCAGATAAAAATGTTGGTCGACAAAAACCTCAAAAGTAAGAACATAAGTAAACAGAAATATACACAGTGTGCTCCTGCAGTCGAATGAGCTGAAGCTGCTGTAGTGATGTACCCAGGGTCGATGCCAAGGGACAAGGTAACAGCAACTGGGATAAAACACTCTTGCCATTGCCAAGTCAAAACGCTATGGAATGTGGATGATTGAGCTACGGGCAAGTGGCGTGTAATAATCGTATCACCATTCACCAGCCATCGTTTTTTCGCCCGTTTTGACGGCCGACCGGCCGGCCGGCCCAAGTAAATTGGCTGGTACGGTTGCCGCCGAGACGAGACGAAACCATGATGATGAGCCTCTCGATTTGCTTTCGCTAAGACAAAAGGGCGTTGTCTGTTGTCTCCATCAGCCAGGAATATCATCATCGACCAAAGCCAAAGGGGTCCCCAAGCAACCGTTAGGTCTACATTTGGTGACTTGGCGTCAGTCGTCATATAGAAACAGAAACATTAGAGGCTTGTGATGAGAACGCCAATCGGTAGTTAGGGAGACGCGCGAGGTTCCTTAACAAGCTAGTTCCTGCATCGCATTTGTTGCATAGGCGTGAATACGTGTAATACATAAATCATTCTGCGTCTGTATCCATGGTCGATGCCGAAAGAAAAAAAAAGACACTCGCGCGTCACCCCGCGGTCCCCCAGAGGCAGGCGGCGGCGGCGGTGTTTACCCGTGGCCGTGGGTGCCGGCCTTGGACGCGTCACGCGTTTGTTGCTTGCTTTGGCGATGTTCCGAGCGATGTATGGGGCAGCTCAGGAGTCCTGCGCAAACCAAAACGGCCACGGATTTCGAGTCCTGCGCGGGGGCGGGACGGAATGGCGGACCGGCGAAGCGGTGGGTGCGTGGCCCAGGCGTTTTTCGAGCCTTGCTGCCTGGCGACTGGCGACTGGCGACTTGGCGAGCGTCGAGCGGCGACGGTGAGAGTAGAGTAGCGGTGGGTTTTGCTGGTGTCCCTGTCTCCTGCTGCAAGGTCAGCTGCTAGTCCCTCAAAACCTTTTTGAAGCAAAGTCAGGTAGTCAAGCTTGGCCTTGGGAAGTGAAATCGCAATCGCACTATTTCTGTCACAGGTTTCAAACAAGTACTATTCCGGGCTCCTGATGGAGTGATGATGAGTGACGTGGTGGTTTGGACGCTTTGCCGGGGCAGCAGCAAGTCACCGATCTCCATGTCCTACTCTAATTAATCCGAGTTTGCAAACAATAGTGACCAACGAAACGAAGCAGAGCATTACTGGGCCGCCCACGAAACTCCTATGCACGCACACAAACGGGGGAAAACAAATACTGCATCCATTTACGTTTTGACTTTTTCTTACGTATACAACTTTTGCCACGTACTTAAATATATACTACTATGTCTAAACTCTAAATATATATACTAAAAACAATATGTCTAGAAAAATCAAAACGTCTTATAATTTGGAATATGGGAGTAGATAAGAATATAACCCATGAAAGTGTTGGGAGGGCCTTTCTACGGATTCGACGCATGGTCACACACAAGTAGGGATGGAAATGGGCCGACCCAGTCCTGATATTGGACCCGACCCATGGCCACAAGATCAATTTTAGGGGTCTTGAGGTGATCAATTTCACCAAAAGACTATGGCCTTATTGGTCTAATGGGTAATATGAGTCTATTTAACTATTTTTCTAGTTATTACGAGGCATTACTCAGGAGAGCTTCTACAGGAGCTACCATGCCAGAGACATTGCACTAGTAGACCAGTGGCGACATGGCTGGGATGAGCTTCAGAGAGTAGCAGGCACACCGATCCGCCCCCTATTTGACAAGTTCGAGGGCTTCGTTCACCTTTTAAACGAGGTTGACCGAATAGTTGTTTGTTGGGTACGTTAGGTTTTTTTCCTACAGTGTGGATCGACCCGCATCGAGAGTTTATTCAGTTGATGGTCAATTATACTATGCAGTGAATTTACGCTGACAAGCTGAGATAGCATCTTGGAGTTGCTGTCTCACAGACACGTAGCTGCACCAGATAGTTTACGGTGATGTGGATCCCTCGCGCCGTGGGAGAGCTGGAGGTAACTTCGCTACATATCAGCAGATATGTCAGCTCTGAAATGATCAAGATGTCCAAGAGGAAGGTGAATTGGGCTAATTCTAAATTCTTTGCAAGAATTAAACCATACACTTAGCCCACTTCACCCCTTGTGTTTAGAATGTGATTCTATTGTTCTACCGCACAAAAGCTTTGCGCCCTAAGTTTTAATCCTACTCTAACATGGCAATTTTAGTACAGTACAGACTTCAAATGAAATGCTCAAAAGTAAATGCTCAAAGTAAAGAGAGAGAAAGTGTCGGGGTATGGCCCCCGGTATCCACAAGACAA